ATATATATATATATATATATATCTCTATATTTTTACGTGTAGATATTTTTTGGTAACTTGTTACAATAATCTGATTAGACCAGTTAAGTATGTATAAATATATAGGGGAAAAAATATCTATGCATTGTAAATAAAGAATAGTAGCGAACGAGCTTTTGTCATTGCGTGAAAGCTAATCAAAATTTTATTACGTTAAATGACACATATACATACAATCGTAGGACAGAGTCCTACCATTGATCGTTGGACATAATTATGGATCCGTATATTAAATTCTTCGGAGATTAAATAAGCGATAATGCAACTTGATTTCTATAATTATCCGTAGATTGTACATAACAAGTCTTTATGATTACTCGTCTAAAGAAACATCGATATTATTACAATGAAAAGCAAGTTGTATTTGGCTTTACTTCATATGTACTTCTGTATTTATAATATTTATTACATTTTTCATATGTTGATGTAATAAAGTTTCAAGTATACTTTATTCATCTTTATATGTCCTTTACCTTTCAAATCGTTATATATTCCTTTTTATATTTTGAGTATAATTTTTTATGTTGACTTTTTCACAATATATGTATATAATTATTGTATGTATCACTCTATTTCATTAGAAAGTATACAAATTTTCTTCAGAGCATCTAGTCGATTACCTTTTGTTTTCAATCTAATCTTTTGACAGACGTCTTCTTTAGCGTAAGATTTATTTAATCAGATTTATTCTTGTAAATCTAAAAGTGGAACAATTCTAAAGCAAAATTCTATGTATAATGCAGTAATTTTCATATAATTAAAAACGTGAAGCAAAGGTATATTTTAATACCATTTTTATTCAGTGATTAGTGATTTTTGTCATGGGTTAGGTGTAAGTACTAACTTATTATAAAATACTGTTTTTAATTAAATTTTTTTAATTAAAAAATTAAAATGATTTAAAAAACTTGGTAAGAATAAATTAATTGTATACTAAAGTGATTATATGCCTAGCGAGCCGTCACCGATATGCACCAATTTGGTGTGTATTAATTTTTTTTTTACAATAATCCGCACGCAAACTGCGCGCCGCATATTCGTCGGTATTCACTTGAAACACACAGTTCATTAAGGAAAAGATAAAATTACATCAACATTCGTGTCGGCTCGATAGGCATTACTTCAGTATAATATATAATTCAGTATAATTCAGTATAATACATATATAATTAAAATATTAAATTTTATAGAATTGACACATAATGTATGTATTTCTGTTAAATCTTTTTAATTCGTTAATTTTTTATAGACATGAAACACATATGTACATTTGAATTACCTGAATATCTTGTGAGAAATGTCGAAAAGTAAATCTTCACCAAAGTTAGAAGGCATGGAGAACTATAGCAGTATCGGCGAAGGCGATATTGAAAGGAAAAAAATTCTACCTCGTAAAGATTTTGGAAGACAATGGCATCGCTTTCGAGTTCTAACGCCGCGTTCGTTTATACTTCGAGGTTCCTACACGATGAGCGATCACCGGTTCAAGTATAAAAGTCGAGGACGACAAGCGGCACCATGCTCGGTGGTTGCCATCGTTTACGGTCGCTTATTTGAACCGAAGGAGTGGACGAGCGATCATATCGATCAAATACTTGAGTACGGTGACAAGTTGTTCCGCAAAAATTTGACGAGAAGTCAACTGAAGGACGAAGACTACATGAGGCCCACTCACATACACAATGAATTCTATATTGGTTTCTACAAAATTTTGGTCAATATCGAGGACAACGGTGTTCACGGCAATGTCTTTAGCGAATCGGATTTTGCTGAAGGTCTCCGAAAATTTTTGAACAACAATAATTCCGGAGTTATCACCGCTCAAGGTAGTTCCATCGCTGTATGGCGTCAATCTAGCGATGCCGGTTTCTTCTATTACGATCCGGCATCATGCGACGAGACCGGTCTACGTTGTCTTGGTGGTACTGCTTGCCTTATGAGATTCACGTACATGAATGACTTGCACGATCATTTACTGAAGAACCTAAATTGGCGCCATGACTCTCGATACTGCATCGTTAAAGTCACTATATTGCGTGCTACAGAGGTAAGTAACAGAATTACATAGAATAGCGATAGTAGCGGCAGAAAAAAAAGCGAGAAAGAGAGAGAGAGAGAGAGAGAGAGAAGCTTATTTTCTTTTATATCATTTGTGAAAATAAAGTTTATTTTTATTATTATTATTGGAAGTAATAAAAACATAAAGAAAGCGTCCAAATAGCGTGCGCGAAGCACGCGCCTGTAATGCTAATTTGGTATAATAATAATCTAGGTAAGCATCGTATTATCAAAATATAACAATTTCCGTTTTTGTTGCTAATAATTTATCTCGGCCGATCACGCCATGTGCTCTATGTTCCTTTGCCTAATCTCCCCTAACAACAAAAACGGAAATTGTTATATTTTCGTAATACAATGCTTGCAGATTATTTTTATATCAAACTAGCATTACAGGCACGCGCATCGCGCGCGTTATTTAACACTTCTTATTATAATTTACAATTACACACAACTCATTGCATATTTTGACAGTTGTTATGTATAGAGATTGATAGCAAATAGTAAAAAATATGAAATAGCGCGCGCAAAGCGCGCGCCTGTAATGCTAGTGTATAAAAAAAAGACATACACATATATACATAAAAAGAAAAAACTCACAGGTTGGTCGTGGGTTCGTTGATCTAACTGATGTCGTTGGTCTACCCGTTGTCCGGAAGAGCGTATTACGATCCATTAATCCCGTGGACGTCGATGATCATAAAATGGATTGCACCAAACCCATGCCCAAGAAAGAAAAATTATATACACTCGCAAGAATACGGAAAGAACCATTGTCCATCAACATTTCCAATTATAGCATCGATCGTCATTTTGCCACAGATTTGCTGGTGAATCGAAACGATTTTGACACAGGATATTCATACGATAACATGCGCGTGAATGTGCCGTCCACATTTAGAGAATTACCCGGCAAAATAGCAATTCTTCATGGTCTGACCCATGAAGATAACGAGATATACAAAGGTAAGGGTGGACAAAACGTAGCGAATTGCGTGATGGCTATCGCAATGAAAAAAGTGCATCCGGTGAAGACATGGATGAGATCGACGTTGGACGAGATTCTAATGATGGGTGATACGCTGTACGCTAACGTCAAACTCGTCAAGCCAATAATAAAGATGATGACGGCTGCCGATTTAGATGATACAAAGTTTCAAATAGAAGATCATAAACTAGTGATAGATGTCGATTTGATCATTGTGACTGGGACAATTAGTTCAAAGGTGCCGTCAGTTTTGAACCTGAAGCAGGGACTGGAAGAATTTTTTCTGTTAAATGAGGAAGGTGTGATTGAAACGACTTCAATGGCGGTGGCGGTCTGGAGCCAGAATGATTGTTACTATCTGTTTGATCCTCGACGTTGCGATGCTACCGGGATTAGGATAAGGGAAGAAAAAGTTATGGGGACGGATAGGAAGGAAGAAATAGAAGGACAGAAGGATAAGAAGGAGATAGGAAATTGTTGCGTAATTCGATTTCCAGACGTCGACTCGTTGATTGCGCTGTTCTTGAAGAGCATTGATCCTACGAGAAAGAACGATCGATTCACTATTCGGCATATCACAATCGTGGATGATGTGCCTGGCACTCGAGCTTGGAATGAATTTCAGCCTGGTATGGCGGGTAAGACGTGGGTATTGCGAGGTAAAATATCCAATGTGGACGAGTCATTCGAGGAGGAGAACCAAGGACTTCAAGGTCTCGCCATGCCAGTTGTGGCTTTGGTGAGCGCAAGGGAAATACCAGCGGCGAAATGGAGTAGCGAAACTATCGACGAAGTGATCAAGGAGGGCGACGCTTATTACAATTGGTGCAAGCCTGCCGAAACGGAAGAAACTGAAAGATTGCTTCTTGTTCGAGATCTAAAGAAGAACTTGTACTTAAAAAATCGAAAAATAACTATCGATATCGAAGAGGCAACAGTTGTCGGCGATTTATTAGCATCGGATGATTCTAAAGTGCCAAATTTGGAAGAAGGATTGAATCAATTCTTTGAGAGCAAAAATTATGGAATAATCGATACGAAAAGACTCTCAGTCGCAGTATGGAAAGACGAAGAAGAGATCAAAAATAAGAATAAAGACAAAAATAAAAAATGGAAGATATTTTATTATTACTTTGATCCAAATCCTCGTGATAAATTAGGTCAACTGTCGGCGGAGAGAGACGAAGAGAATTCTGCTTGCTTGGTGCGCTCTTTGGATCTTTCAGCCCTAGCGGATTTAATTAAAAAGAATGCGGGACAAGATGAAGGTGGGAACGATTTCATGATACACGAATTGAAGAATGTTTCTATCGGGGCACTGATGACGAACGAGGAAATTGAGGCGGATAAACAGATACCGATCGTGCCAGATTTGAATAACTATTCCAATTTAGGCAACACTGGCGCTTTGCTTTTAGGTACCATCGATCAAAGAAATGAATTAGCCTTCAAACGAACAACAAGAGATAAACAGCAAGCTGCTAATTCTTTGACGACCTTGGCCATGACAAAACTTTACAATCCTCATTTGTGGTATCATGAACTTATAGACGACATCTTGAGGATTGGCGATAAACTCACCCTCAAAAACTTGACGAATTTACCTGAAATAGAGACTGAAGACGAAGTCCCCAGAAATTACCTTCTCCCCTCGGAAATCACAGAAGACTTTGCCATAGGAGTTAATCGAATGTCGATCGAACTTGAAGAAGAGTCCATCACTGGAAAAATGACTGATCTGACAAGACTACTCGAACAGTTTTTCGAAGGAAATTCGATGGGAGTTTTTCGTCAGGGTAACGTAATGATGCCGATTTGGAAGGAAGGCGAGGTGTTCTTCACGATGGATCCCAGGAGCAGGAACGTTCAAGGCGAACCCAAAGATAAGGACGGAGCTGCGGCAGTGATGTGGTTCACCGATATCCCCTCGTTAACTAGCATTCTTCAGTTAGTTACACGGGAAGTCGACAACTTTGTCATCGACGTTGTCTCAATTGAAAATGTGTACGAGACGCGAGTGGCAGCAGTTGAACGTGTCAAGAAGACCACATCCGGTGAAGATCTATGGCATCATTTTCCCAAACTCGCCGACGGCGTCTGGAGTATTGATGGTAACGTCACTATGACAGACGAAAGATTCGAAGAGGCAAATCGTGGCAAGCAAAGTGCGGCCATCGCCGCTATGGCCATCGTCTTCTCCAAGGTCTCTATTTCCCTCTATACAGTCTATCACCAAACTAAACTTGTCCGGACAATGCGTTAATATATCGATAATTTCTAAAAATTCTTAGATAGCGCAACTTTGTCAAAAATTATCGTAACATAATGATCAAAAAAGCATTTCACAGCTTAAAGTCTGTACTTTCAAAATTCATAATTCATTAACTTGACTTACTGATTCTTTACAAAGCTGCACGGATGCAAATGGAGATGCGTCAAATCTAAAAATTTTTTTTACTAAATTTGCGAAGTTCCATGGAGTGAAATAAAAATCGGATACAAATGCGATTTACAGCGTTTGAAAGGGTGAATCTTTACCTTTAATTTGCGTACTCGATCAGCATTGTGCGATTTTTTTTTACCGAGTTATTCAATACGAAAGCAAAGATGGTTATTTTTACTTCAATGTTGAGTACTTGGTGAAAAAAAATCGCACAATGCTGATCGAGTGCGCAAATTAAAGATAAAGATTCACGCTTTCAAACGCTGTAAGTCGCATTTGTATACGATTTTTATTTTACTCCATGAAACTTCGCAAATTTAGTAAAAAATTGTTAGATTTGATGCATTTCAGTCTCCATTTGCATCCGTGTAGCTTTGTAAAAAATCAGCAAGTCAAGTTAATGAATTATGAATTTTGAAAGTACAGACTTTAAGCTGTGAAATGCTTTTTTGATCATTATACGTTACGATAATTTTTGACAAAGTTGCGCTATCTAAGAATTTTTAGAAATTATCGATATATTAACGCATTATCCGGACAATTAGTTTGGTGACTGTATATCAGTTTAATTAATTAATCGATTAATTTTATTATTTAATTTCATGTATATAACTTTATTGACTGTACGAAGGTATAATTAACATGGAAAATTAATTAAGGTCTACCAACCGAGACAATGGACACCATCAGTTCTTGACGAAGTTATTGTTACTGGCGACAAGCTGCACTCAAAGTGTGTCGAGAGACTTGGCAGTGGTTCGGTACCCTTAGTAAACGAGATTATTAGTGAGTTTTTCCTGTCCTCTCGGCGCATCGTTCTAACAATCAAGGACTGCGTTCAAGCGGGTAGTCTTATTGGGAAATCTCCCAAGATTCAAGATTTGCGGAGCGGAATCGATAGTTTCTTCAACAAGTACGAAGCTGGCGCATTGACCGTACGGGGAAATCAAAATTTAGCCGTGTGGAAAGTCGATAATGCGTATTACGTTCTGATACCCGACTGGTCCGCTACGAAAGAAATCGTGTCAACGATACCGCGATTAATCAGGTTCAAGGACGCGGATCTCCTCATAGAATATCTTTTGCGTCATTTGGGAACCGAAGGCGATTATCAAATTACTGCGATCGACGTGCTGGACTGGAATAAACCACCACTTTGGAAACCCGACCCTAGTCCGGCGATTCGCCCAGCGAATCTGCCTCCTTTGAATGCTTACAGAAAATTACGAGGCGAGGCGCGTGCTATCTTGCATGGAAGCTATCATCAAGGTGACAGGATATTTCCCGATAAGCTGCGTGGCCGACAAACGGCAGCGAATTGTATCGTTGCACTCGGTGTGTCGATCGTTAAGAGCCCCGTCACCTGGACGAAAAAGACTATGGACGAGATCTTAGCGATCGGTAGTAGCGTTCACCAGGAGACAAGCAAGACCAAATCCATCGAATCGAAACTGAAACCAAAAGACATTATCAGAGTATTCTATGTGGGTATGTACGTTTGTGTCGTTTCTTTACTCCTGATCTCCGGCTTTTAAGGCTCCTGACTAATAGTCACCGCGGTAATATTGAAATCATGACGTCATAAGCGAGAAATAAATACGATACAACTAAAAGTTTCTTACGTGCCATTTTTAAATTTAATAAATATATGAGACAAGTTACATTTCACAATTAAGCACATGATAACGCGAACTACGCTGTAGTGTGATGAACAAGCTGTTCTAATTTCGCGATATAGGTAGTATACGAGTAGTATTGCCACCGTCAACGCGGAATTCTTGGCTGATATGCAGAGTAATCAGGAACCTTAAAAACTTGTATTCTATATTATCCAATATTATGCCATATTATTTCCATCCCAGGTGTCAATGTTTTGACCGTTGACGTCGAGCCTAATACCGTAATCGGTCTGGTAACGGTTGCACCTTTTGTCTCGGAAGATGAGAAGATGCGAGAAGAGACGAAAGAAAAAATTTACAAACGCAAGAAGAGAGCGGCTCGACGAGAACGATCGCCGCCTCTCTCTTCGTCTCGAATTTTACTAGAGGAAGGTTTACAGAAATTTTTCCAAGATAATCGTGCCGGCATTCTAATAACTGATCGCGGTATGATCGCTATTTGGAAGGATCTGGGCGTCTATTTCATGTACGATCCTAGAGCTAGAAACGAGCATGGTCTGCCGGATTCCCGTGGAACCTCGTGCATAATGTGGTTCGCTTGCATGGAACCTCTATATGATACAATCTTCGCGAACATCGATCCACATGAGAGATATGGGACTTTCGAGATCTGTCGGGTGATCATAAGAAACGTCATTATCGAGGCACTACCATGTCCAGGTGATTTTCAATTATATTTAGACCGTATCACGCCACTCGTCCCAATTTCCTGCCCGAAAAAGACAATGTTGAGCGTGGAGTCGCTGAACAAATACCACGTCGTGGACGACGAGCTGAACGTTCTGCATGGCAGCCTGCACATGAACCATCATGCCTTCAGCCTGAGAAACAGAGGTCACCAGAGCACGGCGATTGCGGCGGTCGCCGTTGTAGTGGGATTACTGCACGTACCATCCACATGGACCTCCGAGCTAATCGATGCCGTACTTAAGTATGGTGATTCGCTGTACTCGGAGAGTGCTCGAGCCGCTCGATCGGGCGCTAGAAATCTCTCGCCCAGCGAATTGCTCACAGTGTTTATCGTGGGCGATTTGAGGGTCACCATTCACGTTCACCATCACACTACCGCGGGAATACTTCATGCCTTCGACCTGTCCGAAGCACTTGTCATGTTCTTTCGCGCCAACTGTGCCGGAATATTACACACAACTAATCTGGCAGTGGCCGTGATGCAGCATTACGGTAAATTCTACATGTTTGACCCGTGCTCGAGAAACAATCGGGGCAGATCCACCTACGACGGCGCAGCATGTATGTACAAGTGTAATAATATTGTAAAGATAGCCAAGATATTCGTGGACAATTGCAACTTTAAGCAGCCGAACGTGTATACCTTAAATGCGGTTAATGTATCGAACCTGCATTTCTTTTCGACCACAAGTCCATCAAAACATTAACAAATCTCATCAGTTTTACGTTTTTTCTTTTACTCATAAAGTAGATACAGCGATACGAATCTCAAAGTTGTACATTTATATACAATTTTCAGTACTCGAGAAAATTCATTCAACGAGCCTCGAAACGCACGCAAAAATTTCATGTCTCGATAAAAGATAAGTGGAAGTGAGAAAGAATTCGTACACGCGGCCGACAACGTTCTCAAAGTGCTAATTTTATTTATAGGGTTTTTTTTTTATGACACAAATCACTTTTAGCATCTACATGAGTAGGATTACAGGCTATACGAGAATGAATGATACAGATCGCTTATTAGTGTAAATACAATGTTCCTTTTCCTCAATTACACGCGCGCTATCAGCCTAGATACTTAGAAAACACTGTACAACGCAGCTGAGAACTGTCGATTGATACTTTACAATATGATACAATTACTCCTTTGAAGCGAGACACGAGCTCCGAATTCCCGACTCGATCGGCACGAGCTTGGTCACCCTCGTCACCGGGGGGAAGGGGGTCGTCATTTGCGACTCGCGATACCCTTTCTTCTCGAGCGGACTGTAGGCCGTATCGAGCAAGTTTGCTCGTATTCCGAGAATCGCATTCCGCGTTCCAGGGATACATTTCTCTTTATATCCGATAACGTCGAACGTGCAGACGCTTTCGCATCTCCGAGCAGTTCGCCACCGAATCCTAGGCGACGTCGCCTCGTCGTACGCTAGTAGAGCGAGAAAGAAGGCAGCAAGCGAGCTCGAGATGATTCATGAAAGGGAGTACCGCTCTGTTCGCAGCATCCGATATTCATCGAGAAAGAATCGGTCCCATCGGTCGCGTCACAGTCGTATTACAATCGCGCGTACAATACTCAAACTTGGCGAGTTTCATTTTTTTTTCGAACTGGCTATGTCTGTCGCTAATCCGCCATCGCCGCCGCCGCCTCCTTTCCTTTCGCACTCGTCTCTCTCGTGAGACGTTGCTGGTTGTCCTTGCCCCGTGCATATTCGGTAGGTAGGTACTTCGATTCCTCGATCGAACGTTTTGTACGCGCGAGAGTCTACGTTTCTCTTTCGTTCGAGCGCCTCGAAAATAAAACTGCCAAGCTTTTTTTCGCTTTGTTTGCGACCGTATACAAATATAATATACAGATCGTTGAAGCAGATCGACACTCGCGAAAAAGTTCCTACTAAATGCCATTTTCAGTCTGTTTATAACGAGTTCGATCGACAAACGAAGAAGGCGGGAAGGGAGAAAGAGAGAGAGAGATGGAAGGAGGGAAAGAAGGGCAAGTTCTCGTCGATGGCTCATGCTTCACGATCGACGGAACTAGGATTTATAATGTCAAAAACAATATGTATTATTAGTAATATTGGCATGACGTTGTTATGGCACGTTTAGTTCGCTGCTATACTCGGCGATGCGTTTCTACAGCGGCTTTCGCCATGTTCGCTATACAGACACCGGATGATTCCAGTCGAAAAATAAAAAAAATAGTATAAAAAGAAACAAGGAGAAACACATTGCGGAAGGGAGAAAAGAGAAAAGATATTGTCATAGACGTTCGTATACACCCTCAATGTGCAACGTCTACTTCAGTTTCGGCGCACGACGCGCGCAATCTCACACTCTCTCGTTCTCTCATTGGCACCTCCATTGCACTTTCCCATGCGCCGCAACAAATGCATCTTATATAAAACGTATTTATTTTATGTACAAAAGAGAAACTGCTCTCTGAATAAACGCTTACGGAACAATCGTTATAAAGAATCCCTCTCGCGTATTTCTTTCCCGTTTGGTAATAGATGATAAAGAAAAATTAGGATCGCACGAAAATGTCACGCAACAGAACGAGATCAGTCATTAACAATTCTTATCGCAATTATATAATATCGGCATACTCGAAATTGCGCATATGATACATAATTTTAACTTTTTATAAAACGTACCATCGTGTAAATGTCTTATTGCAAAAAAGACTTATTTTTATTTTTATCACTTTCGTAAAAATGTAAAATATTAAATCGATTAAAAAATAAAAATTTTAAAAATTAGCAACGTCAAAAATCTTAATGGTAGTGAAAATCAAATTAAAATGAAAGAACTAGAGTTGTTCTTTTGAGACGAGACAATATTGTGAACAATCTTTTACTTTTCATGTGATTAACAACTTTATTTTTATTTTATTTTATTTATAGAAAAAAGGACTACTGGCTGTAATAGAAGATTTTTCGCAACAAAAATTCGTGAAATAATAAAAGATTATTTCATATTATTTTGCATTAATCGTCCAAGTACGTTTTACATTTGCACGTTACACCAATATGATAAACAATAATATATATATATATAAAATAAAACATAAGGAAAAAACGTAGATTTGCCGATAAAAATATCTGTAACGTCATTTTGTATCTAGAAACAAAAATCTGCTATCCTAATGCTTGAAACCGCATAAACTCCGCTAAACTCTGATAATAACGGAAAGAGAGGAAAATAAAACGTTAATAAAACTTACAATGTTTTATAAGATATCATAAAATGTTTTTCTAAAATCTTTCCTAATAGTCGTTCATTGAGCGATTGTTCCAATAATAAAAATTTTCTTTCTATACCGCGATTTGAGAGAAAAACTTATTTCTCTGATGCGCATACATATGGATTATAAATAGGCTAATCCTCAAATCGCATCGGACGATGCTACATGCTCATCGAACGCTCATGTCACGTTAATACGTAAAAGTGAAAAAAACGGACAGAAAATGTTTCTGGAAAGAGAAATAGATATATAGAAGGAGAGAAATGAATATATTACAGAGGATTTTTCGAAAACATCGCTTTTGATGACTATTTTCAAGTGACTCGATACAGCTCATTTTAATCTTCTTATAGAAAATGGATCGAATCTTTTAATTCCAGATCTTTTTTTTTATTTCTTTTAATTTATTCCGGTTATTGTTTTTGTTCAATCGAAAGTTTGAATTAACGGCCAGAATTATTGTCCAAATTGAGGAAAATTTAAAAAAATGAAGACATTGAGCGATGTTAAGTCAATTGCGACAATAAAAACATGAAGTTTAATACGTATTATTAGTATCAATACGCATTTGTATATACTATAATATGTATAATATATGTGTGTGTGTATATATATATATATAAACATATATATTATACATCTCTCAATATGCGTATTTATACTTAATAACTGCGTAGTTGACACAACATGTTATGTTCCGTATAAAGGGAAAAATTTATTAGATAAGATTTATAGAAACACGTTGCCTTTAGAACCTTATTGATCGCATGGTGTCGTTTGTCAATATTATTAAAAATGAGTAATAAGAAAAGTAAAAGAGAAGAGAAAAAATATTCGAGTAGAAAATAAGTCGGTCTAAGGATCTTACATGCTAATCAACCGCACTGTGTATAGACTTTTAAAAAAATAACAAATTACATATACATAGAAATTAGGTATTTTGACACACTTGATGTGTGAGGTGAGGTCGAATAAACAAATGATAATAAAACGCACTGCGCGCGCCGTTTTTTTTTTGCGGCTCTCCTGCGCTTTACGCTTAGTTACTTGTCCGCAATATAATTACTTTTCTAGAGTATAGTAGCTGGCACAGGAACATGACTCTCAGTCATTGGCATCACAACGTAACAAGGACTACAAGCTGCGTCACGCGCACTTTCAATGAGCTTGCTTTCTTTGTCGCATTATTATCAGACGTGCACTTTGCTCTTCCCCAGTTTCGCAAGCATACATATATTTCTCTCACGCTTACATCTCGCTTACATTTTTCTTTTTACCGAGCGGGTGACTACAACCAAATACTTGGTCCTGAGTATTTCTGCACATAGTACTTATTTCTGTTCTTTCGTTAACACATATAATAAAGTCTTGATCGTTATTCCCGACTTTGGATGATCTTTATAGTTCGGCGAATGGATAAGAGCGAGGCCAGGAGAGAACGATCACAGGCGACTTTATAAATCCACAATGGCGATGCGACGATTCGTGCAACGATTCCGCATGCTCGAATCTGAATCGTCAACAGCGTGCCGCTTAGATTGTAGATTATAGTTATTCCAATGAAACGTGATCAACTATTCCACTAAGTGACCACTCGAATTATCTTTAGGAATTTCGAAAATACTGTAGTTCTCCTCGAACCTCTACCTGAGCCTCCCTAATCAGATCGGAACTCCGAGAGAGAAACGCTAGACGAAAGCGAGATCCTAGTTTGGTCTCTCACCTGCCAAGTCCTTCTCTTTATTTCTGTCATCATCTCAGTCGGTTCCTCGTCATCCAACTTTGTAATCGCGTGCATACGTAGACGGACCCTATAGATGACACCGCGTGTAGCAACAGTTCGGTCACGTGGGTCCGGCCGGGGCTACGTAACACTGATCGCCGGATTGGAGGGGCCCGAAGGTGCAGGCTCGCTCTTTATACACTGTCCGGTCAGCTGGTTCACGCTGAGCGGATTGTTAATGTCGTGAGGATTCGTGCCGACGGGATTGCGATGAGGCTGCGGAGGTGGTTGCGAAGGTTGTTGCTGCTGTTGCTGCGCCGCTGCTGATGTCACTGCTGATGCACCCGCCATCGCCATCGCCGCTGCTGCCGCTGCCGCCGCCGCAACCGTTGTCGACGTCGTCGCCGCCACCGATGGCTGGTTCGTGTTCGACAGAGGCGGAGGCGGCACCGGAGGCGTCAACGGGCACGGGCATGGGCATGGACTGGCCAGACTCGAGGGTGATGGTAAGACCAACGAAGGGCTCGCCAGACTAGACAACGCGGATAGGCCTCCAGGACTACTCAGAGACTCGTCCTCCTCAGGAGTCCCCGCCTCTCCTACACTACCCAGATTATCCTCCGAACGATCATCCTCGGCTTCACCGTCAGCTTCACCGTCGCCGTCTCCTCCCTCCCCCATGTATCTGATACATTTCTTCTTACGTCTGCAAATAACGAGAAACCGATTAGTGCGCGTTCGTCTAGATGTATTGGAAGCATCATGTAATGTTGTCTTTCGATTGCTGCAATTTCCATCTGTGAGAGATAATTTATTTAGATAATAATAGCGTATAGACATCACAAATATTTTATTTGTATATTTATGTATTTTGATAATTTCCTAAAAAAAAGGGAGCATTTCAAGTACATGATGTTCTTTACTGTAAAAAGATTGTCAGAAGCTTGCCTCTAGTATTATGATCAATCAGCCAATAGTCGAACAACATTTAAATTACTTTAATTCGGCTCTTGTCTCTGAATTTTTTTTCAATTATCTTTGCACTTTATGCGGAGCTCAATATTCAATTCGGAATTCTCACCGTTGGAAATGCGTAGTGTCCATGAAAAATGTTACATCTAAAATTGTTACCAACTAAAAAAAACATGCGATTACTCGTCATCATCGCAAAGTCAGACACACAAACTTTTCCATCTCGAGTTAACAAATTATATCTCGTGTTTTAATGCCTCAATTGCCGAAGGCCGAATGGAATAATGTTCTTTGTGCGCCTGACGATGCTTCGATTGCTCGACACTGATCACTCGTTCGCAAATGCCATGCTTAAAATTTGTTGGACGTAACAAGCATAACGTGTAAGAAATTTGTACGTGACAAAGGAAACAAAACTCAATCGAAATGCCAGGGGGCATTCTATTGAATCATTTATTAGCGATAATTTTATGGGGAATCGCGCTCGTCTTCTTTTTCAACTTGTCGATTTGTCGTAAAACGGCCAATTGACAACGTATGTTAAACGGATACAGTATGTTACGTGGAACTTGGAATATTTTTGCGACTAATTGTAAGTGTATTTAAAGTAAAGTTTTCAGTCGCGTAAAAGATGGATATCGTATAGAATAGATTTCGTATGACGAGAGGAAGAAAGGCGTTTTGCTACTGCACAATTTTCACAAGTGAGCCTGTCCGACCTCGTCCGAGAACTGCGTTGCAGTCGAGACATTTTGCCGCTCTGCCATTGGCTCTCATTATTTATCTCTCAGCTACATCAGTTAGTTTCATCGGCCGTGCTGCTGAGGACGACGAAAGTTGCTATTAACTCGCAGTCATACTTGGATGTCAAAGCATTACACAAGATTTACGAGAATTAAATCTCCGTTTAAGTTTGCGCGATAACAAACCGCGGGCATTGGAAAATCTCGTATTGGACTGCAACATACATTATTCTTTTGTTAGATGAATCATAGATAGTTGTGTATATAATTACGATTAGTGTGCGAGTTGGAAAAAACGTATTCATCGAATTTGTTCTCACAAAATGTATTATATTCTTCACAAGATGTTAAAAAATAATTCGCATTTTTGCATTTTGTTTAAAGAAAAACAATAAATGTTTTTATATAGATATGGCAACAGCTATCTTGTTAAAAGAACTGCAATTGCAGTTGTTTGCAATCCAGTCCGAGATTCAATCTGATAATACGAAATTGTGCAAAATTTTAACTCAAATTCCATTCTACGCGTCCAGCGCGTTTTTTTTCCAAACAAGTGCCTTAAGTGTTACTATACATATAAAAACACGTTATTGTATTGCAAAAATATTGCAAAAAAAAAAATAATTAGATATTAAAAGTAAAAAAATATATGGAAAACACATCCGTACAATGCAATCATCCGGACTTAATCGTACGAATTGTCATGCTACAAAATTAAAATATATAAAAACCTTCTATGTGTCAAACATTTCGAATTTAGAGTAAATAACTGTTACATGTGTATATGTATATATGTGTGTGTGTGTATATATATATATATATATATGTATATATACATACAAACAAATATGTATACATAATATAATATATATAACAGATCAGCCATGCTAAGGGCAACACTGAGTAAATTCCAACTAAACGAGAGGGATAAATAAATAACAATAATAAGCTGTAAAGAGCCACAACAATGAGAAACAATGCGAGCATCACGGGCCACCGTCGTGCCGCTTACTATGGGGCTTCTCGCTCGTACCTTCCCACGATGATATTTAATGAACTATATGTCTTCGTGCGTCAAGTGTCAGGAAAAAGTTTGATATTCAGTTCTGAGACATTATACAGTGACATTATTCGAGCGTCTGGCCGGCCATAGCGAGGACCGACGAAGGCCCGAAGGTTTTAAGTCAGGACTGACCACTGTTTAAGAAGAAGTGTTGCAGTAGAAGGGAGGCGATAGGCTTGACTAGAGATTAACATAAGTGGGTTCTTGCTGAGGCGAGGAGGCATTGGAGGCAGTATTGGTATTTGGCGGGGCGGCGGCTGTCCCCACCGTCCCTCCACCACCTCCAGCCCCGACCCCTGCCCCCGCGCTACTTCCCACACCATGATGGATTATGCTCGCGTGGATGCCCATCCCCGCTCCATGCTCCACTGGGCTGCCAAAACCAACCACCAGCCATTAAAGGGGCGCTCTCTCTCGCTAAGACATATCGTCGACTTAATCCCACCTCAATCTCGCACCGTATCGTGTCGTCACCCACACGCACGTGTATTGTTACATGTCGAACGTGTTACCGCTTTTCTAATTTTCGGTCCCTTAGATCTCTCTTGATAGTAAAATCGCGAAAACGAGGCCGGCGATTATATATACTATAGTATCGAGATATCGAGATTAACTGTTAAAATTATAACTTTTTATATCCTCGATGCCAAACATCATTTCGTATCCTATAAAAAATAGAAAATGGCTGCTACCGAACACTTGTTGTTTTTTTATTTTAACAAACATATAAATATATTTCTAATATCCGAATATTCGAAAATAAAACTTTAGCAACAAAAGTTAGTTGAAGGATAATTTATGCATTATGTAGATATCTGCATAATTGCAGCATTGCCGGCCTCGTTGGAACAAGTTTGGATTTTAAGTGGAACGAAGAAAGACGGCGCAAGATATAGCGATTGTTGCATCGATCAGAAAATATGTCTCCCAAATCCGCGCTGACGCGATGGTTTAGAAATGATCTTAGCGCACCTCTGATAGCGTTATAAATATTCGCGGTGATTGCTTTACAATTTATGTATATTTTTACTGTCACACATTTTTACACTCCTCCAATCTTCAATCTTTTTTAAGCCCGTAATAACATTATCAATCGAAAGCACAGTGACGTCTTATACAGGCGGTATTTAAGTTATACGTGCATTTAATGCAAAGTGCAATCGACCAAGTCCAAATGCAACAAACTAGGTGCTTTCGATATTCCAATATCTCTCGACAATAGGTCTCGATTTTGGCAAAACAAACATAAATCAAAAGCACAGGATGAATTTTACACGCTTTACGACACGAATTTTACACGCTTCTAATTCATTCCCATGCACGCAGTAATAGATTGTCAGATTGGCACAATTCGTTGATAGACTACATTCTCCAAACAGCGTTTAATCTAGTGATTGCTCCCGAGTCCCGAGAGACACTGTCTCCTTCTCTCATCGTATAATAAATGAAAGGTAGAAAAAAAAAGAACCGTCGATGGGATTCGTCCTCGCCCCTTTAATGAGGTCCATGAGATTCACAAACCCAGCCGGGAGATGGGGCATTTGGGCTACGCCGTGACAACGAGGCATAGTGTATATAGTCGACGCTAAAAACGAGTGGCTCGTGAAACCGCGACAAACTACGGAAGTGTGCTTCTAGAAACCGATATTTACAAGCCAAGTACAGTTTGGACGTGGTGTTGTTGGGCGGTGTCGCGCGCCCACTCACAACTAGGGAAGAGACTGGTCGTTCATCCCTTTGTTTTTTTTTTCTTTCTCTTTGGAAGACACATTTTCTGACGGTCACGCGCAGCTTCGCGCTGTGCTCTTTTCTCTGTTTCTTTCCTCGTTCACTCTATGCTATAGTGCTGTAGATTCGATAGCAAGGGTAGTATCGTCATTGCAAGCACGAGCCGTTTCTGACACGAGACGACCCTGTTGCGCATGACGTTTCGCATTGCATCGCATCACCGATACTTGTATACATGCTCCGGAGATATGCCGTTTGGCGGCATGTTTCCTCTCTTTCAAGTTCCATGTGGATAACATGTGGATGACAGAACGGGGTCCGAGACCGATACGAGATAGCGAAAATCGAGAATATTAAAATCGTGATCGATATGCCGCGAGCAATCTTAAAGAAGGTCGTTAGTACAGGTCGAAATTCATTTACAAAAATTTTCAGATCGTCCAGTCGCTTCTAAAGCGCCAGAGTACACTTTAAGTAAACTACACGAGTGTCATTAAAGTATTAAATTATACTCGTTATATTAAGAGAAACAGAGAATTGACCTTACGCGGAAGAATCCGAGGTCTTCTTTTAAAGAGATTAATGATATTGATGAACGAAGATGTTTCGTGTACTGTATCCTCTATATCAGATTGAATGGTGAACAAGATAAAATTTTTTTTGAAAATTTAATCGATAAACATGACATTGCCAAACCATTGGCTTTCATAAAATTTAGTATGTATTTACACGTGAATCACGAAAATTGTATGCACAGTCTGACGATTTTGTCTCATCGCTGAAGCACAAGATATATCTAAAGAAAGCTCGGTACATAGCACACATACCTGCAAGGTTTGCACCATTGACTTTGTTGATCTAATCCGTACCTGGCGCGGCATTTCTTCATGTTATTACCTAAAAAGGGAAACAGCAACGATTAATGCAATGATTGTGGATTATTTGCAAGCGGAATTACTATTCGATTCATAGTTACATTCTGTCAAAAGAATGACATAGTTATTGACATCGCTGTGTAAGAAAGATGTGAAAAACCTATTCGAATAATGTGATAGAGGAAAAAAATACAAAGATGTTGATATATATATATATATATATATATATATATATAAAATATATATGGATGTTATATATTGATAAACCGTGCGAAATTGTCGTGTACGATTCAATGCGATAACGACGTATGTAATCTATGCAGTATGGAGTGAATCAGTGCTCGAGTTTTTGCGTTAAATTTATGTTTCTGTTCTGAATGCCAAATAAACTCAACGAATGTCAACTAGTCATGCGTGTAACAGAACGATGTTAACCCCTTTGAGATCCAAAAACATCGATTATCAATACGCATTACAAATTATCAAGTCTTCCGAAAAGATATTAAAGTTCGATATTGCAACTTATGTAGATTATATAAAGTTGTATATACATAGAATGTAATTCCGGAACTAAACAAAATTCCTTTAAAATTAACGCAACAAAAATTTATTTCGGTGTTACGACCTCAAAGGGTTGTGAATATGTCGTAAAATCTTCATCGAAGACGCTATCGATACCAAATATAACACATCAAAAAATAGATTACGCGAAAATATGACGCAAATAAATAAAAAATATAAGAATGTATTTGCGTAAATTTCTACTTTAAACAATCTCATATAGTGAGATAGATAGTCTTCGAGAAAGAATCCACGCATATTGACTGCAAAGATGCAAATCATTTATTTTGAAAGCGATGCAAATCCATTTTTAAACGGCATAAGTTTTCAATAAAACGTTAAAATAAATACATTTAATTTGTTTCAAGATCGGATTTACGTCACTTTCTAGACAAATGGATTATATCTTTGTCAAACAAATAATATAGCATGCAACGTTAACGTTTAAAACAGCTTAAAAACACGATCAAAGATCTACTCGATTGAAATGTCGTGATTTGTATTATAAACGCAAATTGCAAAATATGTCTAAAAAATATCTAAAATATTTATGGATATAAACGCTCTATCGCGCAAAATTTTCATATGTAAAGGACGAGAACAAACTGTGACTCGATTAAAAGTGACGACAGAACGAAAATAATAAAATCAGAATAAAACTCAAGGAATCCAGGCAATTGAAACGATCAAAGAAAAATAAATATACGAATATTAAGAATCGAAGTACAGGAATAAGAGAATGATAGTAAAAGAGAATAATAGGGAGAAAAGACGAAAGAGATAAATATTTATAAAATAGGAAAATGAGAGAGAGAGAGAGAGAGAGAAAGAGAGAGAGACAAAAAGGCTGAAAGAAAATTAAACGCTCAGGATTGTCTGATTGCGGAGTAGGTCCCTGTAAAAATGCAAAATGGCCAGCGTCCCCAAAGTTGTATACGTAATTAATAATAAAATGCAAGATGTTTGTCTCGATTGTATGTGTGTGCGCACGCACGTGCTCTCGTGTGTGTGTGTGTGTGTGTGTTTGTATGTGTGTCTGTGCGTAATGTGTGTCACATATTGCCAATATGTAATGCAGATATATATGTATATATACATAGGCACGGACGTGCGCATGCGTATGTGCACGTCTGTACTCGAGACTAATGTAAAAGATCATATATATAATAGAGTCACATTTATATATATATACACACACATACACACACATATATATGTATATATGAAAGTATATGCGTGTATATTATATAATAACAATAATAGTCATAATCAAATATATGTGTATATATATATATATATATATATATATATATAAATAAATAAATAATATAATATAGATATTGACCCAAAACCCCTAAGACGGGGAGGAAACATGCAACATAATATAGTGTAGCAATATAAGAATGTATAATATAATATAGTATATATGTAATAATGAATAGGGTGGAGGGGACGGGGCTCTTTCCTTATGACGGGGGGATTGTAAGAATGTGTGGAGTGAGGCATGTGGGTACCTCCAGGATCACTGTTTGTGTCTTGTTTGCGCTTCCTCTTCTTAGTTCGGTTGGTATTTGCGCGGGAAGACCAGTCAGGGTACAGCTGCATGTGCAACTGTCTCTCCCGTCGCGCCAACTCATAATACTTGGCCTGTTCCTCTCGCCCTAGCGCGTGCCACTACCGAGAGAGAACCAAACACTTTTTTGTAATTGTGCATGAATCGTGTGTGGACTAAACAATATTTTTAAGAAAAAAGAAAATTCACTAATGCTACTGCCGCCACCCTAATTGCATAAAAATTAGAGTTAGCTAACTCTATTTAGAAATTAATTTTTTTATTACTTTTTCGTTATCTATTGTATTATTATTATTTTTTTTTTAGCAATATCTCGTTGCCTCATAGCATTTCAGTAACACTGGGGTTCCCTACTTTCCGTTTAAAGTGCTAGAAGAACAGCCTAAGTTGTCCCCTCCCCCTCGGTCGCACCGCTATTCGTCACATATGATTAATATTAACAACCTAAGGCATACAGGGTGTCTGATAGAGAATACGACCTAAACGGTAAAACATTTTAATAAAGTTTTATCCGCACGTGCGGATAAAAAGTGAAAGAGTAACGATAGCAATGTCTATACTGAAGAAAACGTGTTTTCTCGAAAAGAGAACGTTATACGCAGCTGATATATACTTGCGATTATTGGAAAATCATACAATCCTGAAAATATACAATATTATAATAATATATCGTTTCGGTAAATTGAAAAATTTATTTATTAATTTAATTTTACACTTATCAAAGTACGATTGAAAGATTGAGAATTGATACAAGTTTGTTATCAGACAATTATCGTACTAGCTGATTCAATTAAGCTTCATTGTCTTTGAATCCTTTCGACGATATGAACGCATTTTTTCATTAAAAAAAACGCAAGATGTTCCTCCAATATGTTTCCGTTTTGCCATCTGTCCCAATGTCTCTTCACGTATAAGCTGTCATTGAAATTGTAATGGGGAGACTCATTGCGAGACTTTATAATAATAAAATACTGCCACTTCGCAAAAGAAATATTTATTCCAGGTATGCTAATGGATATTTATAGGAATGGAAGAAAGAGGAGAAAAAAGAAAAAAGAATTTAGAAGGAGATGAGACATATTGTCGGTGGACAATTCACGTTAAATCACCGTTAAATTATAATTCATCTCAGGAGACAAGCGACTACAAGCAGACGTCGCTCTACAGCGAAAGAGATAAACAAAAAAGAAGAAAAAACGATTAGGCCCTAGGCTCTACCAGACATCCCGTACCTAAAGCTTTGGTTTTCACTCTCGCTCTTGTTATCGCATCATCGATGACATTATTTGTCTCGTCTCATTTCTTCTTGTTCACCGGAGAACGAATACCGCTTTAGGGAGTTTGGCCAGATAAAAAAAAGAGATTGCATTGCATGCCGCGAGCCCGTGTTGATTTTCTTCCATTTTTGTTTCTTGTTTCTTATTTTTGTACTTTTCTTTTTTCTAGTTCTCTGCTGTGCCACATTCCACAATCCCCACAGACAATCCAATCCAATTCAGTTTCGAAAAACGAAAAAATATACATATATGCATATATGTACATATAAAATATCCAAGAGATATACATATATGTCGATAAATATATATATATATATAGCCTGCACACGTACGAAAAAGATTGAATGCCAGAAAACGATAAATAAATAAATAAATAAATAAATAAATAAATAAACAAATAAATAAATAACGCACAAAAAGAAATGTACGAAAAAAGAAACGCACAGAGACTTTGATCGTTTCAATCAACCAGTATAGGTATATACTAGCAATTATTATATAATGAATTATTAAGGGCCTGCTGTTCTAGCACTGGAAAGTGGTACCTCCGGTGGGATCTGCGGATCGCTCTTTCTTCCTCTTCTTCTTCTTGCTGCCATATCCGTAGTTATCCCTGGCACTCCAGCCGGGGTATCGTTGCTGATGCAGATGGCGCTCCTGCCTGGCCGCCTCATAATACCGCGCCTGCTCCTCCCGGCTTAGCGAGTGCCACTGCGTGTCATACCCCCAAAATTCAAATTCACAGATTCACAGCCTCACAATACTTATCACCGTGCACCGTCCCCATTATCTTTCCCTCCCTCTTCCTTTCTCTCTCTCTCTCTCTCTCTCTCTCTCTCTATTTCTCTCTTTCTCTCTCTCCCCCCTTCTCCCTCTCCCTTTCTTGCTCGCTCGCTCAAACTTATTTACCATTAGCGACAAGTGGACAAGTCTATCATTGACTCGTGTGACTTGTCACATGTCCCATGAGACCCGCAAAAACCACCCTTCGGCCCTTCCCTTCTGTCACAGCGTTCTTTCTATCAAGGCGAATCTGTGCGTGTGAGATTTCCTTAGATCCCACCTACAATGCTCTATTCGTACTGAGATACTAGTAGGTACGGTTAGTTAACTCTGATTAGTAACCCGACAGATGATTTGTTCAATAAAAGCGTTAAAAATACATGCAGTACTCGTGTATTCAGAATGAAAAATCGTCTGGAATATTTTTAATAAGTCAATCAATATTTTCTCTTTCTTTATCGTTCAAATTATAAAATCTGAATAATATAACTTTTGATGCCCAATATAAAATATAAAAATATATTAATCCAATAATCAACGCAGTTCATATAACAAAAATTAAACGAATTTATAAGTAGAATTTTTATTTATAAAATATATATGTGATCGTAAATTTCGTTCGTAAATTATGTAGTTAACTGAATAAATTGCTGGAAATAGAAATTCTACTTAGAAGCAAATTAAATTTATTTTCTCTCTCTCTCTCTCTCTTTCTCTGCATAAAATATTTGTATAAAAAATCTTGTATCACTATGTGGTAAGAGAAAATATTGATTTTTGCACATTTTAATTATTCTTACATCAGAGTGCAATAAATCAAATTTATTAACAATTCGGATATACATAGATAAACTCAGTATTTTATATGTCTCGTTAGAAGATAATACCCCGAACAAATCATCTTGACATTAGTCAAGATTAGATAATACTTATCTAAAACAATTTAAGATATTCAAACAATAAATTCGAATTTGCTACTCCAATGTAGAATAATTTACTTTAAGACTAAAACATATTCAGATAAAAGATTTACTCACTCGTCTTCCCAATATTTGGTTGATCGCGGCACTCTCTTTTAAGGTACACTCTGCCACAACTTTCGCCCTCATCTCCTTCATATACAGCATAAACGCGTTCAAAGGCTTTTTTATATGGGGTTTCTTTTTATCTGCCAAAAAAAGAACGAGATCAAATGAATCATCCATCTTGAGGCCTTATAGTCGTAATATCGCGATCAATTTACATGTACCAATTTTAAGTTATATCCGCGTATAACTGTAAATCCTTACCTTGATTGTTTTGTTGTCCCGTGTCCTGAGCTTTTGCATTGTCTGTAGATAACGATGTGGAGTTTTTCTGCTCTATCGTTGACCTGCAACACATACATAAGAAAAAAAAAAACTCAAGATCAAGTTTTTTGAATGCGATTTACGCTAATTATACATAGCCCATCGATTGCAATTTGTGTACCGTTTATTGAAGTAGGACTGTTTGATCTCGGAGTTGAGGGATTCGGATTTCGCACAGGACAGGGGGTAGGTCGGCGCGGAGTTTTGGGATAGCTGATCAGTCAGGCTCGGCGGCGTCGCCGTCGGCGTCGTTGTCGCGCTGTCAAAGTAGGATGGCGCGGTCGGTGGTAGCGTCAGCGGGCTCCTCAGAAAGCTCTGCGGTAGCGGCCAGTTCATCTGCTGCCACATACGATGTCGTGCCTCCACCATCGCTAGCAGTTGCATAAAGCTTTGCTGCTGCTGCTGACTGGCACCGTATGGCGGCGGCGCGATGCCGCGCGGCGCGCTCAAGTTCGACATTTGCACGAGACTGCTCATGTAGAGCGCGGTCAGGAATTTGTGATCCGCGGTTGGTAAGCCACCGGACTCGGCAGACTTGAAAGCGTCCTGGAGTATCGCCATATTATCCTCGATCGCGCTCTCTTCAACCACGACGGCGTCCTTCTCCTCCTCGTCGATCGACGCCTCTGCGATCTTCACCCCGATCACAGTCCTGGTCGGCCCGTTGTCGTCAATGTCGTCCTTTTTTATCACCAGATTCAGCGGCTCCAGGCACTCGGCTGGCTCCATCGCCACATACGGAACTGCCTCGTGCTTACTGGCGGGCCCACCGCCGAAGTGATCCAAATCGATCCATGGAATGATTCTAAACGCTACGCAATCGATCCCGCGCTATTGTTCGGGGATTAATTATCGCGGAACGAAGGAATTAAATCACCGTCCATTCTTGAAGAGATGCATTAGAGCCTTTAGGCTTATCAACCTCCTTTTCGCATCAACTCTCGGCAGCCTTCTCTCACTCGCGTTACTCCCCGTCGCGTTAACTCCGGGAAACGGTATACTCGTCATTCGCGAAAAGCATCGCAGATAGGCAAACTCATTGGAGTCCAGCCGGGGCACTCGACAATTTACACTCTTCATTCACATCCTTGCGCTCCCGTCGCGCGTTACAGCGAACGCGTAAAACGATGGAACAGAGACCCGTAAACCGATCAGCGTTGTAAACAGCACGTACGCGGTGGTGGCGCACACGACGACACTTACGCGCCGTCCGTGATGGTCCGCCAGACGTTGGCGGCAGCCTCGCTCCGTCGGAAGTCTCCGAGACATACGTGATAGCCGTCGTATTTGCCGCGCGTCGTCCGCACGTACGACGTGCCTAATGGCATCGTCATCGCTACGTCGTCGTTGATCGCCTTCATTTACACGCTCGCGTCCGCCCGCCGCCGCTTTGGCAGCGCCAGTCGTTGACGCGACTTCGTCACCCGGCGATTCGTGCGGTGAAATGTCTCCAGGGGCGGCATCCCACGGTCACCCATTCGTCATATCTCTCTCTCTCTCTCTCTCTCTCTCGCTCTCTCCGTCTCTCTTCCACTCTCCCCTCTTTTGCTCTCTCTCTCTCTCTCTCTCTCCCTCTCTCTGCTTTTCCCTTTTTACCCCCTCACCCTTGCTGCCCCTCCCGCCTCCGCTGCCGCCAAGAGCAGAGTTGACTCTATATGCCCACCAAACACCCCGTCTATCTCGTCTGACGCCGACGACTATAACGCGCTTATTCCGTCGTATCGCGAAAACGCACCCTCTCGTCTCGATTGCCGAGTGACGTTTGTCGCGTACGCCCGCACGAAAACTCCACGTTTTCCCGATACACGTCGACACCTCGCTTTCTCTCCTGATCAGTCTCCGTTTCTCTCCGGCGTGCCTTCGCGTATCCTCCTCCCGCCGGATTTCCCTCGCGCACGGCACCCTGTATCTCTCTCCCACTTTCCGCCGCGTCTCAAACGCGCTCGTTCCTGGCGTCAGCGGAATCACCACCGACCGGTGTTACGACGATTGATTATCGGCGAGTCTGGGGGTGGCCGAGGGAATTGCGCGAAGGAGGGAGGGCGGGTAGTGGTGGTGCGGGGTTGCACGAGGGTGGAATCGCGGGATGGGTGGCATCATCGCGATTCATGGCTCTCGCCGCGATAGAGACAACCCTACCATCAGCCGGTTCTACAATTCTGGGAGCGCGTGGGGGGGGGGGGGGACGCAGCGAATATCGCATTCTCCGTGGCCTTCCTCTTCTACGTGCCGCTACAACTCTTCCTTTTCTGATGAATTCTCGCGGCGCTGCCGTCGACCACCGTCGATCAACCTGGATATCCTGCTGCCACTCGCCAGCGGTGCGGCGACCTGGCAGGGTGGATCATTCGCGACGAGTCAGTGCGATAGCACCCTTCTGAAAGGAATTTCGTTCCTTTTTGATATTTCAGCGTTCCTCTCGAGGGAACTTTGTACACCTGATTCCATGTATTTGGTCACTAAACAATCAATGGTGACTTTTTGAGTCACCATTGTGAGTTTTGAATTTTTGCACTCACGTTGACCGATTGCTCTCGTTCTTAAATAAAATTTAAAAAATATGAATTATTTTCGCTTTATATGTCTCTGCAGAACACAACATTTTCACGGCTTATTCACCAAGATTGAAATTGAAAGCATCCAACCTGTTCTTTTAGATCGAGAGTCGAGTGCTCTTTATATCACTGATGCGGCAGTAATGTGGGTGCAAACGTATAAACACGTACGAATTTTACGTGAATTCAGAAATGTGCAACGCTATCACTTTCGTGGATGCGTCGCTGATGGATCAGGAAGATGTGTCAGCTGGGCTTTCATGACGCCTCGCACTTGCGCGTAACATATGGTAGAGAGAGAGAGAGAGAGAGAGAGAGAGAGAGAGAGAGAGAGAAGGGGGGAGGAGACGCAAAGCGCGTACGTCGCGACCACGCGTCTTTGTATGTGCGCGGATGCGGGGCGAGCTATCGCCCGGGTACTAATGTAAATTAGAAATCTGTTTAAGAGGGTAATGATCAATACATAACTGGCGACGATGGCGGCGGCGGTAGTGGTGGTGGTGGTGGTGGTGGTGGTGGCGACGGTGGCAGCGTCGGGGTAACAGGCGCAGACGCTGTGTAGAGGGAATCATTCGATAAGTGTTATACGTGCGTCCTCGACTAGCGAAGGAGTGAAGAGTACACGCGACGAGGGGTTCGGCCGAACATTATGGGGTAGTCGAGACGTGCTACCCCCTACGATCCTTGCGCCGCAACTACCCCGTCTCATCCTCGGCATGACGCTTCCTTATCAGCAGACGCACTGCGTTGGTACGCGACCCGTCTTGCAGCTGTCAGCGCTATTCGGGTATTATTATCGATTGTCAAGCAAAAGCTCCAACCAAGCACGTGGCGCTTACATTCCATGGGATACAGCTGAATCGGCACACAATCGTGAGGTGGTTAGGAAGATTCTCGCAGAATTCTACAGAACATCATCCGATGGATAATATTTTGTAGGATGGTCAACAATATTCTGACAGGATGCCATTCGATAATGGATAACATTTATCTTTTTTAATAAATAAAGTTATCCACTGATTCATTCATCAACAGAGTTCTTATAATTTAATAAATTACGATTAATTTGGTTACCATAATCCTGATACAATCTTGCAATTATATGTTTCTAGTTGTTTCTATAAAGCAAAACTATATATTCGTTTACATTTGGATATAACTTTTTTTTTTTACGAAAAAGATTTCTTTCACATTATAGTAGTTTTGAATTATTTTTTATATTCTCATATGTTCCAACGACATATATAGGTGTGATGACTTTTTAAAAACTTTGTTTAAGACCAAAGTTCTTTTTTTCATATAGATTTTTTGTATCATTCGGTTTATTAATTTGTGGACGACAAGCCGTCGTACAGCCATTTTAATGCGCGAATAAAAGACGACGCGCAACGTATTGTAAATTAATTATATCCCCGGCGGGATAATTAATCAACGCTGGTAGATAAAACCGTTCCAAGCGGCAAGTCGGCGAGTTCATTAATTGCCTTTGAAAGTTTATGCCGCATCGTTTCAAAGATTATGGCACCTCTTTTTGCTGCATGTCTCTTTCTCTCTTCTTTATATATCAAACGTATAATAGTCGTTGATAATTGATCATTAGATCGTTAACATAAACGTGGTTCGCTCGTAAGCTATTGCTTTAAACGTTTCAATACTTTCACAACTGACAGCGATGCCGAAGAGAGATTCACTTCTTCACGTGGTGAATCCGGCAGCAAAGTTTATCGAGCCGAGTGGACGGACAAAGGATATCGGGTATTAAACGGGAATAATCGATGCCGGTTTTGCTGCTAGCTGTTTAGATGTCGCTAGCGATACGAAATTGAGGGTTGCAACGTACCTGTGATTGTGATCTAGGGTGGAGTGATCCGCCTTCGGCGCCGAGGATACCAACGCGTGCGACGCTAGCGCATGTGCGTGTGGACTCAGGCCAGGATGCGGAGGCATAAGGCCTGTCGGTGAAAACCGGTAGAGATCACTGAAAAATCAAAGCACGTTTAGTAGTTTAATCACAGAAATTACATTTCAAATAATGGCAAATAGGCGCAAAAAAACGATTTTTATCGATAATATCAAATACTTTTACTGACCTTGGTAAACTAGAACTCGTGATGGGTAAACTTGTGGGATATGGATTTCGGAAGCCAGCATTTGCCGGCGAGATGGGATACATGCTCGGTGTATGCCTGTAAACATTTATATTTATTTATTCGTTGCCGGGACGAGAGTTCTCGTGAAATACTTTCTCGAAATTTGAATGCTATCGAATTTCTAAGAAATTAAAGAATCCGCTTGTTTCACAGTAACATCGATCGTTTTGCTTATACATCTGTACATGGCATGAAATTTTCTAATAAATTACATATATAAGAATTGCTATTTAATGTAAAATTGTATATATATTAAATTTTACAGTGTATAGGTTGATGGTACTCGCCAAATTACATATTTGATAGAAAAAATTCAAAGTTAAAAAATTCTAAAGAGCTTTTTTAGCAACTAAAAGAAGAAAACAAAATGAAAATAATTATTTATAACTATTATTAAATTTAAGTTATTTTCCCAATCAAACAAAATTAACCAATCATTGATAATAATTTTGTTTTTTCTTATACAAAATTATTTAATTTTGTGATCCCTAGTATACGATATATCGCGATTAATTAATCGTTCAACTAAAACGTTAATAATATAATATTTGCGTAGTGTCGTGCAACCAGAAATACAATTAATTAATTATGATTAACATTGCGAACTGCTTCTCGTAAGAGTAATTAGTTTGTGTCTTTTCGCGAATGCACTGTTCGCATTTCCATTGTCAAGAAGAACTGCACACAGACCAGAATTCCATGCACTTCGCATAATAAAAACACTGCCGACCTTCTCATTATTGCAAGTGGCCTTCTCTCGCGCTCCACTCCTCCCTTTTCAAGGATGGGCGCCACCCCTTGAAAACCACGAGGTAAATTTTGTGCACGCTATAATGTTAACGTCCAAACAGGATGTTTTCCGCGCGCTAGGTTAGTCTCGAGCAAACAAGAATGTTGTGGGTCCTTCTAATTGAGAAGAAGAAACCTAATCATCCGTGGAAAATCGCAATTTGGGATGACTCAGGCGTAAAGCAAATAACGAGCAGGGGAAACGGCGGCTTCGAAAACCTGATCGTAAGGACCTGTCTCCTTGCGAAAAGAGGGTGACGTCTATGAGGATCGCAAGGATGAGGCAAGGTTCCGTATCCGATGTAATAGACCGGAAGACCTGAGAGGCCGACTGACCAAAGCAGTCAACACCTATTCAATATCCAGATTTGTGTAGAAATCTGAATTGGTATGCGAATACGTCGCTTTTTACTTTAAAGGTCGATAATTTCACGATTGGCAATGCGAGAAAGATCGGCAGCTGCTAATAAAAAAATCGCCTTTAAACATCGTGAGACTCTGAGAATCGTTATTAACGAGAGAGGAAATTAACAAAATCAGGGTATATTTTGAAGCACAGAAAGCTCTGACGACGTTTATCATGCAAATTCGCACAATTTACATTAAAAGAGAACTTTTACTTTAAAGCAAAAAATTTATTGAGGAGGCTCGTCATGTGACGTTTTCCTTGTATTTTACTGATACTTTTATGAATATTTAGCAGCCTTTGTGCACAATTCGCGATATGCGATCTGCGTTGAGTGTTGGGCGATTTAAAATCGCCAAGAATCACTTCGGTGCGTGATCGAAATCCGATGCTCTCCATTACTTTTCATTTGCGTTACTGTGAAACGCGAATCGATTATTTAACGCGTAATTAATATAAAATATGATATAACGTGTGTGTGTGTGTGTGTGTGTACGTCTACACGCGAGAATGTAAAACGATTCTTGTTCTATGGACGCGCGTTTACATCGCGAAATTGAATATCGCTCTCATCACACACATTCAGTTGAATATATGTTTCATTAAAATTGAAATAATATCACGTTATATTGTAATATAACCAATCGCAGAATATAAATATAATTGTATTGCATTAAATTAAAGCTTTTATCAAAACTACATGTTATTTTTATATACATGAAAAAATTAATAAAAAGTATCTGACGTAAAATTCTCTTCTTAAACAATAAATATATTTTTATTTACCAGGAAGCGACTTGCGTCATTTCTGGACTAAGCATGGGGTATGCGTACTGGCTCGTTGAGAAGGGATACATTGGTGCTCTCGTAAGACCTATAACAAAAAACAAAATACCATTTTTTGATTCAATGTCAAATAGCCGAAAAAAATTTTCTCCTCCCCATTTAACTGTATATACTTCTATCCACATATTCAGACTTTTCTATCTTATCTCGTAAGATCGTCAGATCTTATTGATTTTTTATTCTTGTTTGTTCCGTCATGTCTTTACTTTCTTTTTTACATTATATATATATTTTTTTTTACAATCAATGCTGAAATTCTTGCAAATTAATATGCCAAACGTTAGAAAGAAGAATAAATATCCGCCGTACATCTTGTGATTAACGGTGTCATATAATACGTTTGATTCATCATTAACTGACAGTGTGACTAATTTTATGGTCACTAATTGTAAGTGATGACGTTCAATTTAATCGCGGTAAGATCGCGAAAGAATCGGTAACAAGTAGATACACGGAAATATTTGTGTACTGGCGGCGAACACAAGCAACTTTTATTGCAGAAAGCACTTTTATAATGGCCATTAATTAATAAAAAGCCATCGTATTCATATTCTGCTTATAAAATAAAAGTTTCATCTCTACCTCTTATTATCGAAAGTAAAATCAAATACGAATAATAAGCGTGCGATTAATTCGCAGAGAATAGTGGTTTTTTCAACATTATAAGTTATTATTGTTGTTATTATTATATTATTATTATTGTAGATGTTATAAAAACTATCGTAGTATTTGATATTGTAAAAAGCACATACCGATGAATACTTCGATTCGCGATTAATGTATCAGCGTAAATATTATTATCACGATGGAATTAAAAAGGAGCGCAAAATTGAAAGAGAAACGAAAATTTTGCTTTTAATATATCGCGTAGGTTTGCAATACAAACACAGGAAGCGACAGAGGTCGAGTTTTCTCTCTTTCGTAGTGAGAGAACGGGCATTGATCAGCGTGCGCGGCCGCACCCTCTGTAACTAGCACCCGACACGAAGTGGAATGCACACGCCACCGGGATCGTCGCCCAGAGAACAGTCGTTGATGAAATTTAACGCCGTGTAACTCTCATCCCAGAGGGCGGATGAACGGTATCGATATCAATACGATTTTTACATAATTGCGATCGATCAAGTCCGTATTACATTGATAATGAGATTATATATACGAGACATTTCGTTAGAAATGTATTGAGCTCTGAAAATATGTTATTCAATCGTTTTTAAATACAAAAGATTAAGAGATATTGCTAAATAATTTTGTTTTTTGTTGTTAAAATGAAGTAATAATCTGCAAATTTAATTACTAACTTAACTGTTTTCCTGTTAAACATGAAATTAATTAGTAACAATTTTAGTAAAAGTATACGTAACTCGAATCGAAAAAAAATTTAAAGTTTAAATCACTTGAATAACAAATTGTAAAAATATAGATGTACGTGGCTATCACAGGTTGAATAACGGACAAGGTATATCGCTTTTACGTTGGTATCTAATGTAACTAGTACGTGCCGCGGAACCGATCGCGGCTTCAAGAGAGCCCGGGAAATGTTGGGCGCGGATATAAGTGGGGTGCCTTTGGCGAGGCGAAGTGTAATTGGCTTCATAAGGGTCGACGAGAAGCGCCCGGAATATCGGCAAGCCTGAAACCGCTTGACGAGGCCAATCTCTCTCTCTCTCTCTCTCTCTCTCTCTCTCTGCCATTCCCTTTTTCTCTTTCTATATCATTCGGTATAGTATACGCGAACGGATTGGATGGACTCTCCAGTCTGTTTCCATCCCGTTCCTTTTTGCGTTTTGCGGGCGAACATGTCCCGAAGGCATATTTCCCGTGACAATCTGGCTCTTCTCTCTTGTCCCCTCGCGCCTGCTGAAATCGGTCAACGCGTGGTTTTCCCCGGATAGGGCCACTCTCAATCCCTAACTCTATAATAACTGTCGACTGATCGACCGTAAAGAGATCGGACTTCTGTCTCTGGAATCCCGTTTGCGTTGAAATAACGAAGTGCGTCTACACTTCGCGAAAACAATTGCGATTTTGAATGATCGTGAGCTATACTCTATTTTTTTGTCTATTTGTCGCTCTGCAGTACATATAAGTTGATAGTATCTTAAATAATAAAATGTAGAGTTTTTCAAATGTATATTTCTTTTTAAATAATCAGATTAATTAAACAACATTCAGCAATTTTTATTTTTTATCCTTTTTTTGTAAAAAAATTAAATTTATTATCTTTTGAAAAACTAATATATTATTTCTATTTTATAACCTCATTTTAATACCCGCAGAAAAAGATAAAACGATTCGACGACGTATGTAAAATTCGCGGATGCTGAAACTTTTTTGTACAATGGAGCTACTTTCGATCTTCGCATAACGACGATTAGCCACTCGACTGTAACGAGACCGGCTCCCACTCAGCCCCGGGCTTTTAATCTCATTTGAATAACGAAGCACACTCGAGCCCGTGAAAACAATGGCTGCCGAAACGAAATTTAATCCCACGTAAAAGTAATAATCCGATATTTTATCTTGCACGCGCGAATTTGTGCGCCGCGTGCAACATGATATATCCACCTACATCGCTTTAGGTATAAATCATGAAACAAATTACATATTATGTGTGTATGCCAACTAATATATATTAATATGTCACATAAGTTCAATCATCTTCTTTTATAAAAAAAGATATAAAGTTTAATATCGTATCTATGATAATAATTCAGAATAAGATGAAATAAAAAACTAAAATTTCTCGGTATTCAGTGAAGTTTCAAGCAAACGATTGGGAAGCATGATTAAACTCGAGCAAGCATGATTAAACTCGAGCAAGCATGACTTAATCTCAGTTAATGATAAAGAGACAGAAGATATGAGCCCGTACAATGCTGGTTAGATCGAAACATGTATTCAACAGATAGGGAAAAGCTCTATTCGTCTAATACGATGTTGAAGAAAGTACTGAAAATTGATATATACAAATAGAAAAAAAGCAGAGAGAGAAAAAGAGAGAATGGGGAGGGAATGGAAACATAGGATAAACAGAGAGGAAAAACAACGAAGGACGAGAGAAGATGTGAATGAGAGAGCAAAGAAATGAAAGGATAGCGGAAAGGGGTGCCTCGTAATATCCTGACGAGTCCGTGGATTCCGTCATGTGTGCTTAATCACTTTCCAGTTGACTCGGCAGTCTGCAACCCCATTATCGGCATCTCACCATCCGGAAAATTACTCTTTTATTCTCGAACAACTCAGGTTCCCGATGTTCCGTGTACCGCGATATTCTCTCTTTCTTTCTCTCCTTCTTCCATTTGGCCGCTTCACTCTTTTCCTTTTGCTTTCATCCAAGTCGATTTTAACTCGGCCGGTGCTCGAGAATTTCTTCCAACTGCTGCTTCTCGTAGCATCGTCCAACCCCACGAACGAATTCGTCTATTTCGCTCTATTAAACCTTATTGTCGTGAATTTTACCCATCCGGCTTCCGGAAACCGATGGTACAGGTTCGGAAACTGAATGGGTGCAATAGAAATAAGAGCGGAAGCGGTGAAGCAGTGTGAGAAGAAACACAGCAGAAATTACATATCTCTCTCTTTATTCCATGAGAAATTTTATCTACCTACTAATAAATATAATTATCAAAATTTTATTAATATTTTATTTATTTATCTTTTAGTTTTTAGAAAATGGTAATTTAATCGATTAAATAAAAGTTTAAGTTAAATTGATAAAACTACAAAGAATAACAAATAAACAGTCGCAATTTTTTCAAACGGTTTTTTGAAGATTAAACACTTTGTTCAGTTACAGATAGCACGTTCAGAGCTTTATCAAAAAATATTTTTATTTAAAGCAATTTTAATTGTAATAAAAAAATGATTAGTTTTCGCCTAATGAAATCATTTCTTACACCTAACCATCAGAACTTTTCTCGAAATTGTAGAACTTGTCAAGAATTCTAGAACTCGTTGAAAAAGAAACAGAATATTATCTATTAAAATCATAAATACAATGGCAATTATTGACTTATTATTATTAAGGTTATTGTTAGCAAATTTTACTCTGTATACTCAAATTGGAAAATACGGGATCATTGTTGATTGTAAACTGCCGTCTAGAAACAACATATTTTTCCACGTAATATTGCACGTAATGAAGCAAAAAAAAAACAACCGAACAATTCGTAGTTGATTGAAAAAAATTCAACAAGAAATCAATAACAAATCAGTCTTGATCATTTTTCAAATGTGAAAGATGTAAAGATTTGCACATAGAGAGTTTATAGCGAACAAAAAACGCGAGAAAACCTGAGGAGGCGAAAAAAATAACGGACATTAATGAGAATGAGCACGAAAATAAATCAAGAAAGGAAAAAATTAAAGAGAAAACATAAGGAAATAAGAAAAAGAAACAGAAAGAAGTTAAGCGGATCAATTACGAAACCCCGATGAAATGAAACGTCTAGATTTTAATTAGCGGCTACATCTCTATTCTTTTTACATCTCATTCTCTTCTATTTTTTCATCTCCGTTACCGCTTTTCTTTTTTCATCCGTTACCTCTTTCGCTTGTTCTTTATAGTGGAGTTTTTAAATAAATACACGCAACGGAGATCGAAAAGTGAAGCTGCTAATTAGAAATACATGTATTGTATGTACATGCAAACGAAATAGGAATCGTAGAATCGCGGAAACCAAAAATAAAGGAAGGCAAAAGGGAGAGAAAAAGGAGGAGAGGTTAGAGAACAGAACAGATAAAGAGCGGAGCAGAGGGTGAATGGGAGGAAAGAGGAGTTAGAATCGCGGTACTCGACTCTGTCTAGCGGGGGAGATTGGGCAAGTAGGTGGTGAGTTCGAAAAAGTATCGAAAGTGGGGAGATTGTCGTTCCGAAGCGGTAAAGGAAGGGGCATGCGATAGCCGAGATGGGGTGAGGTCGAGTCTCGGTTCACTTCGCGAAGAGTAGAGACGTATAATGTTCCCTTGTTTGCAAGACAAAGAACCCGAGCCGCCGTGCATGTATAAACGCTATCAACATTATCTACATATTTTAAAATCTAGAGAATAAAGAATATCTCACTCGTACTTGTTTATAGACAAAATGATAAAAAAAACTCAAGTTTCTTCACAAAAAATATTGCGAAATATATTGCGAAAGTAAAGCGATAAAAATTGTCCTAAGATAAGTTAGTAGAAACGATGTTTAAGCTCTTTTAGCGATAACTTGGCAACTTTTCGCACTTAAGAGCGTTAACAATGTAGTCAATAGTAAAACTGCGATAATTCAAAGTTGATATAGAAGAGGGAAGCGTTTCCCAAGAATAACTCGAGAGCAGAATTTGTCGAAAATAAATAGGCGGAAACTGCCTTGACCCAGAGGAAAGCCGCATGCTTGCTGATTAGCCTAATGGTGGTGAGTTCTCCCCTTACTCTCATACTCTTGACTGTTCTCTCTTTCTCTCTTGCAGAGCCTCTTTGGAGATTATGCTATCCTCTTCACAGCCTCCATTTAAATCTCGACATTGCCGTACCTCTTGACTTGATAAGAAATATTCTTTCAATTAAACGCCGAAGTATCGATGCAGACATTTTAACTTGACCTGATGCGATTCGAGAGCATCGAAAATACGCTCGCGATTAGTCCGAGAGAGAATCGAACGCACTTGACAATAAAAATCTTTTCAGGCTTTGCAACATTGATCTCTGTGTTCGGAGATTTAAAAACTTGATACCTGAATGCTACGCCAATATGAATTGCTTTGCTCATTGCATATTTATTTTATACACGTTAATAGTAATTTAGTATTTCGTCTACTGAATTGCAGTAACGAAGATTAACGTGTGTTAACGCGGTCGCAAACGGTTTGTGCAAAGGCCAGGCACAAGCTGAACTCGCTTGGGTCAGGTTGTAACGGCCATGTTAATATTTGCGCAGCTCGATACAATAAAATTATATATAAAGCTCTCTCGACGGGGCGGAGCGTGTCGATTACGCGGAGCGGGACGAGAAGTATTCCATCAATTACAATTCGAGAGGAACGTCAATATTTGGCCGGACAATAGCGGATTAACTTCGTGAAAGAATTGTTGATTCAACCGATACGCATTGGGGATATCGAGACTATGCGGCGTATTGTCAGTAGTTGAAAGTTCATGTTGAAAGCATGCATCGAGTGAGATTTTATATTATTAATGGCTGTATATTTGCGATCAAGATATTTTGCAAAATGTGATGATACGTAAAGGCAATTGATGTTTAAAAGTATATAAATCTATAACTTTTGATTGTCAATGTCATTACATTTCGTGAAATAGTTAGCATACTTTACGATAGTAACGACTATAATAGACTTTATAAATTCTTATTTAATCGCTATTAATGACGAAGTAAGTGATTTAGAGGTAGTTAAATGTTCCAATAATCTAGTATGTATCAATGCAGCAAGAATCAAATATATCAAATATAAGCGACTTACAAAAAAAAAAAAAAATTCGAGAAAGTACTCTTTTAATAACTTAAATTTCACTCAGTTATGTTTGGTATAAAACTTACGATACAAACACGAAAATTTTAATTGTCAAACAGATTAGGATGCGACAATTTTTTCAAAATCTTTTAACGCAATTCGGACAGAAGCGATTATCAATAAATTCAAACAAAAGAAATTGACCTATGAAGATTGCTGTCGCATGAAAACGGATATGTGGATGGCTACTAATAGATGGCTGATAACGAAAAATACTTACCGGCCGCGGCCGCCTTACCCGCGTCCAACGCGCCGTAGGGCGGTATACCCATATGGGCGGGAGGTGGTTGCGTCAGGTGGTCTCCGTTCGGGCAAAAGAAGGGTAGCCCGCTTGGATGCGTCCCCGCCAAGCCCATCTTGCTCGCCTAAAAAAATAACAAATTTTAATACATAAGTACATTGTTTCATTTGACAATATCTTGATACATTCATATTTTAGTGTATACATTTATATTCGAATTTACAAAAGCGTAGATCACAAATATCAATATGACATTAAGATGTACAAATTGAAATAGAGTATCCAAAATCTTTGAATTTTTTTCATATTTATTAATAAGACATTATGTACGTAATAATGTATGTATAATAAGATCTATATCTGGGTTGCCGCGCGAGTACCATTAATTCTTTGTTATTATATAGCCGATATAAAATGTCTTTTTATGTTTGCTGCTTATGGTATTCTCTTTATCACATTATGCGTGATATAGTGTGTACACTATACGTTCGAACGCGAATTGCACGAGTGCGTTCAAGCGGTAACGTCAACGGCGTAAAAGGTGCAAGAGAGGATAAGCTAAGGATTTACAGTTCACGACTCTCGAAAGAAACACGATATCCAATTCGATTCGTTCAAAAGGGGAGCTTATCGAGAAGTGCTTATCGAGGACCAGCTCGAGCGTTAATTTGCAAAGATCGTGTGCGGGATTGCGGAGGGAGGGAGGAATGTACTTCTCAAGGCACAAGGGTTCGTTCAATCTTTCCGTCCGTTCGCCTCGATGCGACGTATCGTCGAAATCGAGTGCCCTCCTTGAGGATAGTAGCGCTAACCCACCCACCACTTCTTCAACCTCCCTTACCCTCTAGTCGCTCTTTGTCAAGTGACAGTCGATGAAATTGGTTCAATCTGTTCGTAAGCTCGCAAGATCGCGCACGATTCTCTGCTCTCTTCGTTCTCTTTCTTCCAGTTCTCTTTTCGTCGTTCCGCGCGATGATCAATATGAAAGCTCTCTCGAGATTGTCTCTTATCAGCCACACGGTGCTTACCATAAGTGCGGCGGTATCGCGCATCGATCTGACCGCCAGTAGAAGTCCCGGATCGAGAGGTTCTCTTTCCATCCAAATCAGTACTCTAGAGAGGAGTCCGACAGCCTCCTCGGCAGTAGGTTCGTCCTCGCCGTCATCCTCTTCGATGCCGTCGTTCCCGTCTTCGTCTTCGTCGCCATTGCGATCTGACCATTTATCAGTCTCTACCTCGATCTTCACTCGGCAGTGTTCCTCGTCCGGTTCTTTTTTCCTAACGAGACGCGCCAGCGCGCTCTCTTCGTCGAGAATCCAACTGCCGAGTTCGTTATCGGTGACCTCCAGTCCGATTTCCCTGGCAAGATTCTGCAATTCGACAAGCAGCATTCTGTCCTCCTCCTGATCCACCGGATGGATTCTGGGCGGTAACATGGCGCCGTTACATCCCGCCAGCAGATGATCCTCGCGATCACGTGGTAACGTCCAGCTGCGAGCAAAAGTTTCCGATCGAACACTGAGCCAGGCGCGATGAAGATCCGCAAATGCTTCCTTTAGCGTGAATCTTTTCAGATACGTGTCTAATCGGTGATCACTCTCTTCCTCGGGTAAGCCCAAGATCGAAGGGAATTTATCGTGATAAACGCCACAGCGTGCTCTCGATAATATACCGGTAGCTAGACGTACTCTCAATTCTCGAACCACCAGTCGCGTTTCCATACAATCCTTGGGTACAATGAATAGCCGTACAAGACCATCCGCGGCGACGCAGTCACCTTCCGGTGGCAGATAATCGGCACTTTCGGCTACCAGCACGGCGCCGTCTGGATGCATCGCCATCGCCGTGACAGCAAATTCGCGATGAAACCACCATAGGAATAGATCGGCAGTTAAGGAACCCCTGCCCCCACCGGCATACACCACCGGTTGGCTCAACATGTTGACCTTGCGTAGACAACGTGGCCGCCAGTGGCGGCCGGCCACCAACAATCGCGTCCGATGGTGGCCCTCGTGATCCGCCGCCCCCACCACCCACACCCGTTCGCTACTCCGCGTCGCGTCGCGGCCTCCGACGCCGCCGCAGCCACCGCCG